AATTAGGGGTGAGGTCTGGGGTGGAGGCCTGTGACCTACTCTCATCCTCTCAGATTAGGGTAGACACCTGTTCTGTCTCATTTGTCTCTGGGTCCCTAGTGTCTCCCATCCTATCACCCCACTTACTGTCTTCAAAGGACTTGGTACTTTGTATATTGTTTCCCACCCACTAAAACAAGAGTTCCACAAGGTTAGGGGATGCCTGTCTCGCTCGCCTCTGTACCTCGCCCGTAGCAGGAGCTCAAGAGGTATAGTAGTAGAATGAATGAGCATACCAGTAATAACATCTGTTAAAGGAAGTACGCTAGTGATCAGGTAAGAGTTTAAGATTTTGCACTAACCAGATACTGATTTCAGTTTAGTCCTCATCTTCTTCCAGTTTTCCTGTGAAGGTCCTACAAGAGCTTGGATGTTTTCTGCTGTGATCAGCTCCATATTTTGTCTATAAGGGGAGCTTAGTAGGTGGTCATTGAATGAATTCAAGCAATATGGTCATGTTTGTTGAAAGAAGAAAAGTTAGAGTGATAACATATTTCTTCAGAGTGGGGAAGAAGAGGGGGGAAAGTGTTTGTTCTGGGTCGCTGCTTTATTATATCCTTTTTGCTTGTCCTATGCTCCACATGGACCCAAAGTGCCTATGCAGGGAAAACTGAGGATTAGTCATAGTTCACTTACCTCAAGGAATTCCTGAGTTAGGCATGGTGGCACACACTTAAAACACCGGCACTGGGAGGCTGAGGCAGGAGGATTACAAGTTTGAGCCCACAACTTAGTGAGACCACTGTACAATATAGTGAGACATTGTCTCAAAATAAAAAATAAAAAGGGTTGGGGATGTAGCTCAGTGTGAAGGCCCTGGCTTCAATATACAGTACTAACAATATGGGTGGGGGGGGGGGGCTACTTCCTGAATGGGTTCTTGTCCAGTCTTCCAACTTCCAGCTGCCCCTGCTTTTAGCTTTGATACCCACCTGGGTCTTGCATTTGGTGGTTCATTTTGAGAACTGAATCTCAGGATGAACCACTGACTGTATTCTTTCAATTGATCTCCCATCCTGTCCAGTGTCCCTGCCAGTCAGTGCAGAATGGAAATTATTCTAGAAGCCAGCTTGCTTCTTGGAGCCTCCACATGTCTAGACTTTGTGGCTTGTTTCTAACCAATAAAATACAGCAAAAATAATGGAATGTCTTCTCCATGATTAGGTTATGAATGATCTTGGCTGCTGTCTTAGCAGCCAGTCTGTTTTGCTAGCTTTAATGGAGCCAGCTGCCATGTTGGAGAGGCCCATGTGACAGGTTGCTGAGGTGCCCTCTAGCCATCTGTGAACTAAGAAATGAGGCCTTCAATCCAACAGTCCTGAAGGTACCCTGCCAACCACATAAGCAGCCTCAGAAGCTACTCCTTCCCCAGGTGATCCTTCCGACGAGATAGCAGGTGACCCTGGGCCAACCATTTGACTGCAGCCTTGGGACAGCCCACATGTAGAGGACCCACCTGTGCTGCACCTAGAGTCCTGACCCACGGGAAACTGTAAGATGGTAAGTGTGTGTTGTTTGAAAGCATGAATGTGGGGAGAATTTGTTACTCAATGAGAGACAATCATACACTGTGTATGTGTTTTGTATTTTCCATCAGGATGTGAATATATTGTGAAGTTAGTAAAGTTTAAGCTTCAAGGCTGTTTGCTTGCATGAGCCCCTTGCATGACCCTGGGAGAGTCCCTGGTATGAGTTCATATAGTCATATTTTTGTAAATTTTACACAAAATACTTTAGCTGCAATTGGTTAGGGCTGGTGCCTCTTACTACTCAGCATCCCCTTCCTTGAGGTCAGTGCTGTGGGAATGGCTGGGGATATTATGAAGATCTGGCTCAGGAGAAGCTGAGTTAGAAATGCATTTAGTGGGACTAAGGGGTATCCATCCCTGTGGCTCAAAGTCACTTATGTAGAAAGCCATGCTGTTAACAACAAAGTTCACTCTGTTGCTGAGGCTGATCTTGAATGTATGAATGCATGAGCTCAAGTGTCTTGAATAGCTGGAATTATAGGCATATACCAATGCATCCTGCTAAAAATGGGAAAAATTTGAATAGACTATCACCAAATTAGGTATGTGGATATCAAATAAGAACTTGAAAAGATGAAAACATTATTGGTCATTTAATTCACTAATTAAGCAACCACATGGAGATGAAGCTAGTTCAAAGGACAATAGATGGATAGTTGTGTGTATCCATGAAGATAGTACAAAATTCCATACATCCAAGAAAGCAAATGAAAGAACTATAAACTCACAAGCACAATAGTGGGGAGTCAATGTATCTCTTTAAGAAACAAAACCATATTAAGTTGGGCGTGGTGGTGAACACCAGTAATCCCAGCACTTGGGAGGCCACGAGTTCAAGGCCAGCCTGGACTACATAGCAGGACTCTATCTCAAAAAACAAAAGCACATGCAAAAAAGAAACAAATCAGGTTAACAGAAAAAAAGGTAAAGACAAAGCAGAGGTCCTCAAAGTGCCATCTATACATTCATGGGTCCACAAGACCTAATCGGGGGTTCCACCAAGTCACAGTTATTTTCATAATAGTAAGAAAATGATGATGGGACCTATGGGGTTCCACCAAAATGACATGAAGATTCCTCTCAGTGGGAGGCAGAAGGAAGCCTTTCAGAAGGGAAAGGCAGAGCCTTTTGGGAGTGAAATGGCCATAAATCCCACCCAGCCAATAGGAGAAACTGCATAATAAATATTATCACAAGCATTATCATACTTTCCATTTGTTCTCCTAAAAGCTCTTTCCTTCCTAGCCCTCTAAATTGGTAGATAAACCTATCAGGGAGCCTTTGTAATCCGATGTCCCCACATGCTTAATATCTTTTCTCTTGCTAATCTGCCTACTGTCAGTTAATTTACAGTCCCCAACCACCTGACCCTAAATTAAAAGAGGAAAATTTTTTTCTTCCAACTATAATACTTAATCATTTTCACTGTATTGACAGTTGCACTGATTCCCTGAAAAGGCAGTGATGAGAAAAACTGCTAGAACCCAAGCACAAATCACACCACCGCTCCAAAGTGTACATATAGTTGTATATTATTTTCTGCGTGTGTGTGTGTGTGTGTGTGTGTGTGTGTGTGTGTGTATGATGTTGAAGATCAAACCTGGGGCATCACACGCACACATCAGGCCAGTGCTCTGTCTACAACCCCAGGCCTGTCATATTTTGACATCACACACTTGGGTGGGCTCTATACCCTTGAGTCACCTGTGTGAGTCTTGAGTGAGGAAATGCAAGTGCATCTACAGCATCTCTGCCACACCCTTTCCCACATATTTTGATGCAGTGATTGTCCTGAGTGACAGCACTTGTGCAGTTGCTTGAGTTGTGAGCTGAACTAGCATTTTAATTTTTTTTTTTGGTGCCGGGGATTGAACTTGAGACCTTGTGCTTGCAAGGCAGACACTGGAAACACTGAGCTAAATCCCCGGCCTCTGAACTAGCTTTTTAAAAAAACATTTTTATGACTGAGAGAACTGGTGGACAAATGAGGGTTTTCAGACTTGTGTATTTGGTAGACATTTTCTTCAGAATGAACTAGGTGAGTCTATCACTTCAAAGGAAGCAGTTGACATTATTTGCTGCCAAGGATAAATTTTGAGTTATCCAGAAAAAGTAGAATACTGGGCAACTCACATTCACTACTGTGAGTATGACACCTTCTTAATATGCCAAGATTTTTCTGATGACACAGGTGGTAACATGAATGAACGTGATTTTTGGCATTGTATAATAAAATATGTCAGCACTTAGGTCTGCATAATTCAATCAGTATTTCCAGTCATGATATTACAAAATCATGCATATATAAAAGATCCACTCAAAGTGCAAGTTAGGTTAATTGATTTTATAGGAGCAGAATACAGAAAGTTCACTCTTAAGTTTCAGGTTCCACATAGCAACTAACTTTTAAGAAATTATCACTTGGAAGTTTTGGTGTAGCATCAAAGAAGAATAACCACACTTACCTGAAAAGGCTAGTTCAAAAATTATTTTTTAAAAAGTTCCGCTCCAAGCAGGTATGGTGGTGCATGCTTGTAATCCCAGCATGCTGGGAAGCTGAGGCCAGAGGATCGCCATTTCCAGATCAAGCTGGGCAACCTAGTGACTTAACAAGACCCTATCTCAAATCAATCAATCAGTCAGTCAATCAATGGGCTGGGGATGTAGCTCAGTGCAAAGACCTTGGGTTTAATTCCCAGTACTAAAAAAATTTTTTTAAAAAAAGTGAATAACCAGTGAGCTAGTAAAAAAACAAAATTCATCCTGCTGGGCATGGTGATGCACACCTGTAATTCCAGCATTTGGGAGGCTGAGACAGGAGGATACCATGAGTTCGAGGCCAGCCTGAACTACATAGTAAAATACTGTTATGGGAATCTCGGAAAGAAAGGCTCAAAGACACAGAACTCAGGTAAAAAAAAAAAAAAAGATTTACTTTCAAGCCAGAGAGACCACCAGAAACTAGTCTGGTCAGTGTCCCCCCTCTCTTTTGTTAGTCTCTTCTCTTTATACTTTTGTTAGTCATTATCTCCTTCCTTGTGGTCTTT